AAAAGGCCTTTGTAATATTGTTACTAGCATCTCAATTTATGGAAGCTGAAACATTGCATGACGTGAAAGAGAAATATCGTGCCAAAAATTGACCTCTCAATTCCGAAAATCTAAAATACATGTGGACTCGTGGAACTCGGAGCACTCGTACAAAGAAGAACATTTATGAAATGATTTTGTGGGGGTCATTGGGTAAAAACTGAAACTTAAATAGGAGACTACAATGTCTAAAATAGGAGACTAAAATGTCTTTTGGGACACACAATTTTTTAAAATAAACTTGAAAGACTAATTCTCATTTACAAACAAATCTAAAATGACCATTGATAAGAACTGTATTCAAACAAGCTCGACTAAATCTATAATCCATTGGTTGTAAGTAGGTAAATCTTCGCGTGTAAAATACCCATAGAAAGGTTGCGGAGGGGTCTGGAAGCTCAAAGACAAAATGGCGTACTTTCAGGCTGTATTAACCTTGATATCTAACTGATGATTCAGAGAAATGATGCAAAACTCCTAGTCTGTAATCTCCTTGACCATTACTAGATGATGGATGTATTTCGGATTTGAAAAATGCATTTTCAGGTTTATTCACTGAGCTCTGTCACGGACAATACATAACGCTGAAATTGCCCATAAAGGTCAACATAAAACAACAATTTCAACTGGACTGCACTTCAAATCATGCCTTGAACACATGTTCAGATTTCTGGTAGTTGCAGCTTTGATTGTACGCTTTTTGTTCGGTTTTTTTTTTTAAAGGTCCGCTTTTTTAAGGATAAAAGACCCACTGCTTAAACCAGGCTGGCTATACGCCTGCATTGGTAAGTCTGAAATTTAAGCATTAATATGGAACAGAAGGAACACAGTGCTTATTTGTGCGTGTGTGGACATTTAAATGAACTGACCCCGCACCAATTCCAAGGGAGTTTGGCCGACACGAATCAGGTCGCATCTTAGTGAGAGATACCAAGGCTGTATTCAGACTATATCTCAAAACTCTCCATCGCTGTACGGATGGACGAACAAGTTTTATACAAGGATTGATTTCTCGATTCCTCGGCTCCAAGGTTAGGGTCACCGGCAAGGTCCGCATCTTTCGCCGCGTTGTCACGGCAACATTCGATTGGGAAATAATGGTTGTCAATATCCCCCGTTTATTATTGTGGCTAATTGGGGAAACAAACAAAGGCATCTGGAGCCCAAGTCGACGCGGAGACGTCGCAGTATGGATTCGCATGCTTGCAGGAGGCCTTTGTGTCTTCATCAAACTACAACGTCGAACGTGGAAATTGGTATCATTTCTCGGGTTCAGTCCCCATGCACGGCGTTGTAAACTTTCATAGGAATTGACATGACACGTTGTAATTCAAAACGAAATTTACACACGTTTTACAAGGAATGGTGTTTTTTCGGCTTGTATCAGTAAATTGTGTTATAAACTTTTAAAGGATCTGACGTGAACGTTCAACACTTTACAGGGGATAAAATTACAAGATTTGACACAACTTAAAATGGGGAACTGGTGTGACATTTTCTAGCCTATCTCAATGCAATGCGCAATAATTTTTTAAAAGAAAAATACACAAGGAGACAGTTGAATCAGGAATGCATTAGTAGTACTGGGAGTGTTGTAATATTGAACAGCTGCATATAGACAATAATATGGGCATGTGCTCATACTGTACACTCTTGAGGCCCCCCTTCAATGGAGAAACCATTGCGCATGCTATTGTACAAAGCAACAACCCCATGACGTATTATCTGAACAATAGCTAGCACAATGCTTTTGCCATTGAAGGGGGCCTTTTGCGATAGAATGCCCCGATTGGTCTGTACTATACATGTACAATCTGAAGTTACACAAAGACTTTGTCAGATAGCTGCTCTTTTTTTTTTACAAAACCAGAGCAATAAATCCATCAATGAAAGATTAACCCTAGCCTTCTCAAATCCTCCAAAATCCTCTTTGCAAAATGGAGCATTTTGCATGATTCAGGCTAAAACTATGTGGCTGATTTTTGAGGATGCACTGTGTCAAGGTCTTGGGCCGGACCTTGTGTTGTTTATGCTGAGCCATGCATACATTTAGGCCTAGATTATACTTGAAATCCTGATCTGCACTGCTCCTAGATGTCACTGGCTCTGCCTCAACATATTGACAGTGATTACTGGAGAGTTTTGCAGGATTGAGGCAGTGGTCACCCCTCCAAGGACCACATGCAGGACATAACGGAGGATTCTGCAGGATGGAGGCTGTATGCAATTTTTACATGGAGGCAGTTGGAGGATTTCGCAGGAGTGATGTTGCATCCTAGCAAAAACGCCTAGGGAGTTAGGGTTAAAAAAATGCACAAATATGGACTCGGGCAACAAAACTGAGTAGAGTTGAATATTAGGTAAACAAGAACATAAACTGTACAAGTATGGGCCATGCACAAACAACAAAAGATAGGAGCATAAACAAAATCTTATCTCTGTTTCGAATATGCAGAAAAGAGAATACACATTTATCCAATAATGATGACCATGGTATTAGCACGGCTGTATGAGAACAAAGGTCCCAATATAATCGTGGTCCGGGTTTCCAATTAATGACCTCATTATCATTAGCAAACAAACCCATTGAGTTGGGCAACACATGGCCGGCGTGAACATTGCTCGTTTGCCGGGCAGAGCAACCACGCACGCAAAACCAGACAAGAGAAATAGTGTCGGTTTGAATTGGTGGGCTGCAGCCACTTTAATGCGTGAAGTACGTACGGGCTGGGAAAAAAATGCACTGCAAGCTGGAATGCGCTGTTTGCGATATTAAAATATACTCTCTTTAGCAAATATTGGGGCCACGGGGTTTGCCCAATTGTCTACTGATTAACTACTTCTTTTTTTTTTCATTTCTCTTCTACCCTGACAACTTTCGCTCCGTTTTTTTTTTTTTTTGAATTGACGATAATAAACCACTTCATGATGGAATGGACTGCAAGGGACGGTCTCATCAAATCTAATATCAAAGTCGTTATGGAAAGAGAAATAAAACTATGCAAGGAATTCAAGCAATCTATGATAATATTACCAGCATTCATCATTATCTTGTGATAAAACAATTGCATATTTAGCTCCCCCCCCCCCAAAAAAATCAAAATACACGCCTAACCCGATCCATGTTTTAAATTGAATTGGCAAATCATTTTGCCCTGTCTCATTATAATCACCCTTTTGTCTATTTTTTTTCCTCTCATGTTCGACCTTTTTCTTCTTCTTTAAAGGGAAAATACAACATTTGCAAACATCAAAAAAAAAAACTACCAAATCATTTTGAAATACCTTGCTGGACTGTTAGTGAATGACAGTGTAAAGCATCCTGTAAAATCATGGCACCTGGTATACTGTCATTTTCAAGAAAAGCGGTATTTTTGTATCAATTTCCAACGCTGGTCGGCCGACCAGCGTTGGAAAAAACTGGCTTTTTTCAAATACTGGCCCCAATTGACCATCGCACTTGTTTGCAATCAATTAAACACCTATGAACGGGAACAAGCCAGCTAGACTGGTTCCCTGACCTTACAATTCCCCAATGTATGTAAACTGCTCTGTTTCTTCTTATATGGAGTCAGGGAACCAGACTACAGGAAAATGATTGTTTTTCTTGGTTTTTTATAGCATTTTCGAACCCAAAACCTCAAAAAAATCGGTGTAACTATATTTGCTATATATTTCCAACCCCCCAATGCCATCCATTTCTGAAAATTACAGCAAAAGCAAATGATGTATATTCCCTTTAAACTGATGGCCGCTACAACTGTCATTACGAAGTAATCGTATCCGTCTTCATGTATAGTTCATGAGCGCCGGTCCAAACAGACAAGACATGCAAACCGGTCCCCTTGCTCATGTCAGCGGATCCAAACGAGTGTAATATTTATTTTTATGGGCCTACTGAGACCCAGGGAAAAGACCGCTTCAGTACTGCGATGCCGTCCGACTATCCCCCCCCCCCCCCCCCATGCATGCATGCTTGTCACTTCAAATGTAAATCCGTCCAGTCTTCTGGGCATTTTATAAACACATGACTTCCTGTTTGTAACTTCGTCTGCTGACATTTTTTTTTTGGAAGACCAGATTGAAAAATATAAATTAATCCTATGTTGATCCAACTGGGGGCATGTTGCGCTTTAATTTACATGTATAATGAGTGTCCATCAAAGGCAATAAGGACATGAGAAAGAAAAAAAATTAAACATAAAACTTATTTTTGCAGTTTTGGGAAAATATTTTTGTAACGATACTTCCGAGAAAAGTCTACAACTGCATTGAGCACATACACGTGTGTAATATTTTGACATCAAAAGAAAAGGGGGAAAAAAAACACATTTTGTTGTTGTTGCCACCACAGGAAATAATACTGAATTAAAACCTCATGCATATCGAGATGAATTTATGGAAAGGGAAAGTAAACCTCGGCCACTATATCTGTAAGTCAATATTTTGTTTTTATACAAATTACAAAGCAACTATTTCTTGATGAGTTATTTTTTCTAGTGAACGCTGTTTTCTTGTTTAGTTTCTAATTCTGAAAGTTTTTTCTGAACTTTTTTACATTGGCCTCTCGTAGTATTCAAAAAGTCTGATTTCAGATTAACAATCTCATGCCTGATTGTTCCTTTACCATAGAATAGACGTGTAAAACCCTTATCCCCAAGGGTTCCTCAGGACTACCCTGCTAAATCCAACAGAGTCTAACGGTTACTTCCTGCTCAATCCTACAGAATCCAACTGTGCCTACTTTTTAGTTGTCTGCTGGATCCAACAGAGTCCAACTTGGCGTTACTTATCAGTACCCAACAGAATCCGACTCTGAATATGTACGTGTACGTTTGTACAAGGGGTTTACTGCTCAATCCAACAGGCTCCAACGAGGTTGATGATATAGTTGGATCCTGTTGGAATCAGCAGGGTTAGGGTTAATTAATGACTGTTTACAAAAACTGAATTGATCTTACCGAGTTGATCCCAGAGTTGTCGGTGTTTGTCCGTCATCGGCGTTCCCTGCTGCTTCCAGAGTTGTAACCGTGGGTCGACCATAAACTGCTCTGTGATTAACGTTAACATTCTAGCACCATTGGAGTCCCGTACTCGTAACATCTCCCTTACCTGCATGGAGGAGAGAGTTTCTCAAAATGTCACATCTCCCTTGACTCTATGCATTTTAGAAAACTTGGTCCCCTTTTTAAGCTCTGGCAGGAGGTTCTACATGTCACTTGGTGGTCGGTCTGTCGGTCCCCAAACTTATCAGTACCCAACAGAATCCGACTCTGAATATGTACGTGTACGTTTGTACAAGGGGTTTACTGCTCAATCCAACAGGCTCCAACAAGGTTTATTATATAGTTGGATCCTGTTGGAATCAGCAGGGTTAGGGTTAATTAATTACTGTTTAAAAAAACTGAATTGATCTTACATTGACCAAATGTATGGTGTTCCATATGTGCTATCGTCGTCGCATTTTTCAGCTCAGGCAGGGATCATTTTGATCGATTTCATACAGGACTTTCATGCAAGACTTTGTAAAACATGGCGAGAGTTAATTGTGCACTCGCACTTGTTTGCTATATTTCTTCTTCTGAGAAGTCATATCCCATTCGGGTTTTTATTTGTCTCTGCCTACGGCTTTTCAGAGTGGTGTGCCAATTGCAATTTCTTCAGTCATAGCCACTAAATGCCGATTTGGGACATGGTCTGAGCTTGAACAAAACCGCTAACACGTACACGTTGTTCATAAGGACTACTACTGCTCTGTATCGGGTTGTAAGTCTACGTCATCGCTATTACCACAGTTTATTAGTGGAAATCATTCAGAGGTTTAACTGAGCACTAGTATTAGTCCTTTCAAAAAGTTCAGAAAGAAATTGCACGGGAAGTTATAAATCATAAACCACAGCTTTCAAACTAACAAAATGCATTAAGGTGTCACAGAAAACAACTACATAAACTGAAAGGAAAAGAAAAAATACATGTATGTGTATTACAGTTTCGCTGACTACATATCTGTAACATGCTTCATTTCAACTTCTGGATGCAGACAGAAATATCAAAAGTCCTCTCAAAAAACAATTTGGACAAATTTTCCAACTTTTCAATGAGTTAATGTACATATTATTTCAAACAACAGGAATCTAAAAACCATACTCCCCCGTAACCGATCACTGGATGAACACTGCATGCACGTATATATTGTTGATTAACTCACAAGAGGCGAAATGAAAACAACATCCAACTACTCATCCCAGACAAACTGTCTAAGTGGTCCCGTGATAAACACACAACTGCACCGGTAAGTGCAGGGTTCAGGGTTCAGTTCCCTCCTGGGTCCTGCACATGGGAAGGGGGGGGGACCTGCATAGGCAATGAGCAATATCGTGTATGTACATATGCATGTACTTGAACATGCAGAATGCAATTACTAAAAACTTTTTTTTTAAACTAACTCCTCTTAAACAGGTATTTCTCTATGACTGCCTTTCAGCGGGCCTCAGCCTGCGCTAAATTGACTTGCTATTATATCAAATTTTAGGCCTCTTGCCATGAGAAATTCACGGATATTTTTGACATGGATGAGAGCTGGATAAAATGGCTACAATCTCCAACAAGATTCGAGTCTGCAGACCAAATCTAACTGGAGAAGATTGGACATACACATGTACATACAGCTCTATGTTTCGGCTGAGTTTACAATGTGTTTCTGTGCAGCATTTTTCCTTTGACAGCCTGTCAGCGGGCCTTGGCCCGGCCGCGATGACACGGCTGGCTATATCTTGAATTTTAGGCCATTTGTCATGAGGAATTCCTGGATATTTTACATCGCTAGGGAGCTGGATAGTGTGGCTACAATCTCCAAGTTTGGGGTCCGCAGACCAAATATAATTGGAAAAGAATACTATTATATTGGGTTTGGCCCTTCACTGACATATTTTATAAACACTTGTATACTCAGTGTTGTCCGAGGGCTTGCAATGACAATCTTCACAAGCTTCCTCGGGTGGGACTCGAATCCAAGACCTCCTGTTACAAAATACGTTGGCGAAGGGCAAAATCCATATAAACTTCTCCCCTGCACGAATTTCATCTTATATAACTGGAGAAACAGACACGCGCATCCAAGTTTCGGCCAAGTTTATTTAAGGGCAGATCCAGAGAAGTTACTGCTTTGGGGGGGGGGGCTCTTTTAAGTGAAAAATATCCTTATTTGAGAAAATTTCAGTCACTGCCCGGGGGGTAGGGTGCCCCCTCCGCACCCCTGGATCCGCCACTGTAATTTCTGTGCAACATGCTGAAATTTTATAATCTTCAATAATTCTGGTCACAGAGAATGGTTGTCTCTCCCCCTCCCCACCCCACCCCCCCCCCCTCCCCAAAAAAAGATTATCAGCAATGGAGGAATACCATCAGAAACATTCATATAAAATTGACAAATTTTTATACTAAATTGGGGGGAAAAAAACAGACCTTGGCAAATAGTGAGTTGAGTTGCTTCTCTGAGTCGTAGTAACCCCCTTGCTGGAGGTACAGCTTGACTTGTTCCTGGACTTGCTCCGTGTCTAGATGCCAGCAGCTGTCGTCGTCGATGCTGGCACCCGCTGTAGGGTCTGGCGCACCTAGACAATGAGAAAGAAACAAAGGGCAAGTTAAAGAACAATGCGAAGTGACACAAAAAGCACTCCGACAAAATGAAATACCACAGTCAATACTGGCGCCAGCTGTAGGGTCCAGCACACCTAGAAATCAGAAGGGAGGAAAAAAAGGGATACAAACAACGGAGCCTCAAAAAATGCACTCGGACAACACGAAACAGTGTTGTAATACTCATACTCGTACTCATAGTCACAAACTCGAGTAAATTTCTTCGTACTCGTACTCGTACATATATACTCGATGCATACATGTACTCGTTCATAAACTGTGCTCAAACTTTATTTGGAAAGGTACTCATGGAAAGAAATGCATCGTACTAGTAATTTGTACTCATACTCTTGTACTCGAGTATTTCTTTGTACTTTTATTGTGCTCGTACACATGGAAATTTATTTAGTCATTGAAAAAATACCTTGTACGGTATACATGGCAATGTATGCTGTACTCATATCCGTACTCCTACTCATACCACAACTTACTCGTACTCGTGGAAATGTACTCAAATACGACACCAAAAAGAAAAACTACGCTCAATTTTCAGATTTCAGTCTCGGCATTTTTCAGCATTTCAATACGACAGTATAAAATTTGAAGTGTGTGTGTCCATTTCAAGTGGTCCAAAATGTCCAATACTTTACTGTAACTGCACTGTTTGGATTTTTTTATTGTGTACACGTGTGTGTAACTTTGGGCATCTTTGATAATTTTTGGGGAAATATAAGCACATGTACAATATAGGCCTACCCTGTTCCTATTTTCCCCTTTTTTCAGCCAAGTTACTGTCATGTTTACAACAACTTTTTGCCAACCAGTGATTGGTCAAGACATACAGAGTGTGTACTGAGATCCACAAGAAAATGCATGTAAAAAAACTTCACCAGATTTTACGAACAACTTCTAGTCACTATAAACGTATCACATGTATTTGCTCACTGCCATACTAATATTCAAAAGATCATTTCTGAAGAAAAGGGAAAAAAGAGGCATTGAGGAACGAGCACATGTGCTTTTATTTGTGCTTTTAGGAAGATGACAACACGAAGTTCATTTCCACACCGGTAGAGGGTCCAGGTACCGGTACCCTATCACACACCGAAGGCAGACGGAACCAGGGTGTCAAAAAAGCTCAGAGGATGGCCGTAATAGAATTAAGGCCGCAGGAAATAATTACCATTACGGCATTAAAGGCGTAATTAACCACAACATTTCAATGGCGGTTAGTCATATCTCCTCCAACCCCCCCCCCCCCCCCCCCCTCCTCCTAAAAAAAAATACTTGCATGCTATGCACGTTGAAACAATTAGGGGCTCGAGACGCCGAGCAAAAGACTGATGCAACTTTAAACAGGTTGAGGTCGGGGGGAACGCTGGGTAAAAAAGGAGAAATTTGTCATTCCACACAGGCCGACTCGAGTTGAAATCGCTAGTGGCGGCCATTATGAATGGGACAGGCGAGTTTCCTGTGTGTCCATTCGCGGGTCTCGGCACTGCGGGGGGAATGGGTAATGCCGCTCGGCATGCATACAACGGTGAAGGATTCTTCTTGGCGGCACGCGGTCGAGCGCAGGTGAGGGGCTGCTCTTCGGCGTACATTTGTCATCGGGGGAGAGAGAGAGAAGGGGAAAGCTAGAGAGAGAGACAGATATTGGATTTCGGACAGCGTGAATAAGTCACCAAACTTCCTGCCGATTCACCGTCTGACACGTTCCTCCATTATGCATGGAGGCTGGAGAGGCTTCCCAGCTGCTTTGCGCTTCACACTTGTCCCCAACTTAATGCCGTGAATAAAAAAGCCAACCCCCCCCCCCTAAAAAAAAAAAGCAGCAACAGCACAGCTCTCAACTTGACGGAGTAAATTTACAATAAAATTCAGCCCTTCTTGGGAACTTGATTTAATTTGGACATTTTTGTATTCATCCCTTCCCGAATTTGGCATGTACATGTAGCTTGGGGAAATATCGGCGGATAAGGCCGAAGACACTCAAAGAAACTCATTTGCATACATATGTGAGATTCCTGTTCACGAATGCGCAAATTTTCCACCTGAATTCAAAAACCACAAGGTCACCCAAAAGCTTTTCAGACTTTCGTGTGTGTGTTTTTTTTTTTTTGCGATTTATTTCTCTGGCTGCTGATAAAGCAAGCTCGGGTAGTTTTTTAATGTCTCCATTATAGCGTGACAAGTCAATATTTCAGCGACAGTAATTTGTCAGATGACTGGCATTATGCCTGAAATTTTTGACTGAATCACTCCGAGGGCGACTGGGCAGGGGTAATGCAAATTTCCCCGCGCGTCTAGCTGTGCGGGATAGACGCTCAATTCACAAGTCAATGATTCAGCTCCGGGGTAATAATGGCGAATGTGTGTTCAGATGTTGAGAATTTCCCCTCATGTTCCTGTTCAGTTTAAAACAGACTCGAGGAATTTGTGCAGTTTTTTTCTTACTCCCTAACTCTTTTCTGGCTATCTTAAAGATAAGTCCCCATCTATTTTGAGTTTCAACCCCCCCCCCCCAAAAAAAAATCCAGAATTTTGTTTTCAATTGTTTTTTTTTTCCCGTGGCAATATAAAAGTTATTCACTTTTGAATGAGACATTTATAGACAGGAAGTTATTAAATTTATTCAATTCTTTCTTTACAAAGTTCAAATTATTTGCATCTCGACAATAATTCGCTCTCGCAGGGTGGGTCCATTTTTCGGCAAAATGCTGGTCAGCCGACCAGCGATGGAAAAAAACCCTGGTTTTTTTTTTTTCAAATACTGCCCCCAATTTTACCACATTTAGTTACTCCACATTTTGTTTGCAATCGATTACACACCTATGAACGGGTACAAGCCAGCTAGACTCGTTCCCTGACTTTACAATTCCCCAACGTCTATAAATTGCTCCGTTTCATCTTACATGGGGTCAGGGAACCACACTACAGGAACATGATTTATTTTTTCTTGGTATTTCCAGCATCTACCAACACAAAACTTGAAACAAGTCAGAGTATTAAACAAAAATTTCCTATGAGATACTTACCAAATCTTAATATTACAGCAAAAGTAAATGTTTTATTCCCTTTAAATTGTGGGTTTTTCCTGGCATCATGCATGTGTGACTGTTTGGGGTTTCCCACCCAGATTTTCTTTTCTTTCATGACTCAAACTATCATTTCCTTCCCTTTTTTCTGTCGAGTCGATACTTCCTATAAACTTCAACATTATCTAAAGCATAGAAGTTTCTCTTTGCCAACAAAGGCAAACATTCTAACATTTTGAAATAATAACATTGTGGTACACATTATAGTAAATGCAGTGATTTAAATACAATGTGCTTCTCAATTACTAACCAGGAACTACCCAATTATACTCCGGGCCGATAAGAGGCAATTGTTGTAAAGTCTCCTGCTCAAGAACACAAGCACCGTGATTCCCTGTCAGGATTGAAACCAACACACTGTCTTGTAAACAAGTCAGACACATCAGAGTTGTGATGACTCGAGCCAGTGACTCGACCCGAGTCGCAATTTTTGGTGACTCGACTCGACTCGAGTCCCTACAGGTATTAATGGCTCGACTTTAGAAATGACTTAATTTTCTTTCTTTTTTTCATGAATCTTTATAAACAGCTCAATAAATGGAGAGACACATTCATTCTTTCTATTAAAAGAGAGAAGACAATAGCGTCTTTGTTGTCAGTAAAGCTCCTCGCCTGTGAAATTACAACATTTTCTCTGCATGCTAAATTTAATGCTTCAGTACATCATGTTGCATGAATTGTTTTTGTTGCTGGCACTGTGTGAGTAGCAATTTACATACAACATTGGAAAGGCTGTAAAGGATCCAGGAAGAACAAAGAAAACAAAAGCCCTCTTTTTTTTTATTGCAGATTATGCAAACAATCATGTACAATCATCATCCCTTATTGTGGCAGGCTGCATATTGTCCAATGTGCTGGCACTCAGAACGATATTGCCTGGCATGTTTTCGTGGGTTCGGAACACCGAGAAAAACAGAACTCCGGCACAGCACAGTGCCAGTCTCTGCCCCTCAATCTTGTGAAGCAGAGGGGGAGCATTCAAGCACCCCGGCCTCAGCCGCGTGTGGCTATAAGCCTCCGGGCAAGTGAAAAGTTCAGCCGATCCCGGTTTTCGACAGGAGGGCGAAACGGAGAGAGAGGGGGGCGTGTGACATAACAGATGGCCGGCATATTGTGGAGTATATACTGGGCCACGCAGCAACCAAAGAGAAAAATTCCTCCCATCCACACAAAAAATAGTGTTCACAGAATTCAATTTGTTTGAGAAAAGGCTCTCCGGGCACGAATTTGTTCGGGGAAAGGTTTTCACCAATACACACGATGTGTCACTGATGTTTGATTCACGGAGCGGAAAGATCTGTTGTCCTGCAACTTACAATAGGGGTCGATCATGACATACAAGTACATTGTATACATGTCTTTATTCCTGTACCACAGCCGTATATTCCCATACCACAGGTGCATGTAATACCGTGTCATTATCCTTCTGAATAACCCTGTACAGGAACAAATCCTCTGCAAGTTTCCCTTTTGTACGTGTATTCCTAGAAAACCAACAAAGGTGCAAACCACGTACACATACAACTTGTAAATTGAAACCTAGGACCAATTTCCAAAGCTATGTACGTAGACCTGTGTAGCCTGAGGTACTAGTATTTGTGCAGTGTAGGCCTACTTTTTTTTGTACACTTAGGTACTGTAGACATTTTCTGCGCAGACAAAAACTTTCAGGAAAAGAAAGAAAGAGGGGATACCAGCCAAAATATCATGTCAGGCATATTGCCTTGACCGGTTCTCCGCTCTTTTTCACTTCGAGCATTGAAATCAGTCTTTTTCAAAGGTTGTACACTCTAGCATACATGTACTGTCTAGACTACATGTATATATGCATACGGTTCATTTTAATTTGGGGTCCATTTTTTTTCTGTCCGTTACATCCAACATCAATGATTTTGTAATTCTGATGAGTACTCCTAATACAGTCGTCCTCCGAGGTTGATTATATGAATAGCAAACTTTATGTACCGGCTGGTTTTAAACACTATGTTTCAGACCAGTTGGAGTCCGGATGCTGATAATTACCAGAGACGAAATCAAAACATTCGGTAAGTTAAAACAAGTCAAAAATTATAAATTTCCAACAATTTTGTTGAACATTTTTACTTCATTTTTTTGTGGAAACATTCCTCTAGATATGCTATGGTATGGCCCTCTCGTGAGAAATGGTTAACAACTCCATGGAGATTGGCGCGCCCATCGCGCGTATTGCGTGATGTGGCGCCGAACGCAGCTTTACGTGTTTAAGACCAGCCAGCCATGTCTTTATCAACCGTTTAAAACCAGCCACATGACAGGCTCTCGACCAATAGGAAGGGGTAAACTGTCTTAGGTGTTTATGAATGGTAAATAACAAAGTACCAAGGTAACACAGACAGAAAACATGTGACACTTTGGATGCTAAATTTATAGAATGAGTAACATGCCTTTGTCTAGGGTTTACATTGTATAAAGTGTGTACATGTTGTAAACATGGGGGGGGGGATTCAACCAAATTCTTTACAAGTGTCTAACAGTCTCCAACAGTGCGAAATTACTCGGAATTTTTGAGAGAACAACCCTGCACTGTTTTACTCCACAGACCTCCACGACATCCCATAATTGCAAGAACACACTGCCTAGCCACAATCTAAAGCCTACTTTAGCCCCAGTGATAAAATGTGTTATTGCTTAGTCCGCTCAGCCATTTCATTTTGAGGGTAATTTTCTTTTTATAACTGGTTCCCTGCATGGGGTACCGAGCAGATCTTAAAGGATAAATCACTCAGTCCTGTTTTTTGATAACATTCTCTTTTTACGGATTCCAAGAACAGCCATAATGGGTATAGAAACTGCATTCCCCAGTCAAATTGAAACTTAAGTCTAAGTACGGAAACCACAGGTATTTTTGTCTGGAGCTTTCGGCCAGTGTGCCATTGGGTTGAACGGTCATTGTCAGGATCTTTTCTTTACTAACCAGTGGAGTCATGCAAAGAACTTGCCCAACGTTCACATGTACATTAGAGTTTCAGCTTTCAAAATTGCATGTTGACTGCGACCATATTACGGGTTGAAAACTTTTTCATTGGTCGAGTGTGAAACTAAAAACAGCCAAACAAAGAGACTTTCATAAGAATTGGCTGTGTATGTACTTTTTGCTATTGTATACATGTACATCTTTCTTACATACTGGACAAATTTGTCATATTTATTAAAACTTCGTTCAAAGAAACCTTTGAATCTAAATTTTCGGTTTCGGCATGTACAAGAAAAACAGGCCTATAGGGGGAGAGTATAACTATTCATGAAAAGAATTGGGACTCTTCTCAATTATGTTGCGAGAGAGAACTTGAGTGTGACACTTTTGATTAAATCTAAAATCCATTCGTGGACAGGATTCTAAAACTTTCAAGGGGAAATCAAGTCCTACGTTAGCCCAGGTTGGGCGACATCTTCCCTGCATTTTGACTGACATCCAGGGTATTAATTCTACTACCATAGCAAAAAAAAATGTAACACATTTTTTTTCATATTTTTACCTGATGGAGGAAGCTGAAATTTTGTTTACATATTCCTTGTGTCCAGAATAATGCAAACGCTGGGTTTGGAAGAGGTAAACATGTCCGTGGGCGACGTGTTTACCGAAAATAAACCTCAGATTTACGCTTTCGTCAAAAACATTCTCAGTACAAACTCTTAAGTTTTCATGACAACTTTGTACTGAGGATGTTTTTGACGAAAGCGTGGATCTGCGGTTTATTTTTGGTAAACACGTCGCCCACAAACATATTTACCTTTTCTAAACCCAGCGTATCCATAATTCTAGACACAAGTAATATTTTAACAAAATTTCAGCTTCCTACATCATGGTAAAAATATGAAAAAAACAGGTGTTATATTCTTTTTTGCTATGGCAGCAGACGTTCATACCCTGGACTCCATCGCATGTACAAAACTGAGGAGTCCAACCTGGTTTAGGCCTACGTATGAACTGACAGTTGATTGGCTGAAACTCCCAATACTGCAAAAATCTTCGTGATGGACTTGTAAGGACTTGTGATGGACTAAAATGCAACACAAGAATGCTAGATAGTCAGGATTAATAAACACAGGGCGAGTTAAAAAAAATGAAACCCAAATCTGGGGACTAATGTTTTAGTGAAGTTCTGCATGTAGCACTTTGAAAATCTAGGATTAAATGAAAGCCCAATTCATAAGCTTTCTTTTAGTACAAGAATCATTCAAATCACTCATGTAAATTTCAAGTTACGGAATTTTAAACACAACCACCATTTTAAAGTTCTGTCCACGGATCACAAAAAGGTAGGTGTTCTTTCAGCAAAACGAAAACAAATCACACACGAATGTGTGTGAATTGTTTCGTTTTGCTGAACGCACACCTTTATTGTGATCCGTAGACAGAACTTTAAAACGGTGGTTGTGTTTATAATTCCGTAGCTTGAAAAGTACATGAGTGATTTGAATGATTCTTGTACTAAAAGAAAGCTTATGAATTGGGCTTTCATATCCCAGATTTTGAAAGTGCTACATGCAGAACTTCACTAAAAACAATAGTCTTGACATTTTGGTTTCTTTTTTTGTACTCACCCTGTACATGTAAATAATAGAAGCAGCAATTTGAAATTTGGTATTTACCCGGTAATTGGTTGATTCTAGATTTGGACTGAAGGATCTCATCAGCGAGCTGCTGAGCGGTTGGCAAGACATTGGTGTGGTGGGCGGTGATCAGATACTGGGCAAACTTCTGCAGCTGCTCCCGGTCCATCTGGAGCAACGTCTCCGAGATGGGCAGCCGCAATTGCACGCTCCCGGCCTGGCGGATGCGGTAGAGGGAGAGCGCCACCACGTGCTGGCACCAGAAGATGTCCCGGTTGCCGCAGGTGCAGGTGACGGCCGTGATCTTGCAGCGGTCGAAGCTGATGGAGACGCGGTGGACCTGCTCGGGCTCGTTGTAGAGCTGGTTGCCCGGCTCCGTGACGGTGCCGCTGAGGTGGAATCCTGGGCAAAGTAACAGGAACAAAACATTAATTAAGTTTTTAAAGCCAGTTTGTTACGTTGTGTTCCGGCTGTAAGTTGACAATGCGCAAAGTTTAAGCTGGTACGTGTGTGAATTCATCTGAACTCTACTTAGAGGAAATGCACAATGGTTCGGGATGACAGGAAAACCACACCAGGATGGGTTAGGTAAGAAAAATAAACGTTTCTCGTCCTTGCCTCCTTCCTTTTTAGCCTAACGTCTCTTTTAAAACAAAACAGTCCAATTCAAATTAGTGCAACTTTTTACACATGCCTCACTGAGTAGTTGATCCCCCTTCAACAACTTTTCCAACTTTTTGGAGGAGTTGTTTTAATGTCACTGTTTGCACATATACACCCCAACTTTACTCCAGTGCAAAGACATTTGGGTTTAAACTCAATATTACAAAACTGTATTAAAACTGTTTAAATTTATATCAAAAACCCCCTAGTAGTTTCCCAGGACTACCCTGCTAAATTCAACAGAGTCCGACAGTTACTCATATGAGTTTCCTGCTCAAGCCAACAGTCCTACACAACCCAACTTGCCAAGTTGTTCGGTACCTGAACATATACATTGTAAAATGACTGGCATGCTCAATCGAACAGAATCCAACTGTGCCTTATTTTTCTGTTGTCTGCTGAATCCAACAGAGTCCAACATGGCATTATTTACCAGTTCCCAACAGAATCCGCCTCTGAATGTTTTCAGTTGCCCGCTGAATCCAACAGATTTTAACAGGAAAAGATACAATGTACAAGGGGTTTACTGCTCAACTCAACAGGACGTAAGATGTAATGAAATGTAAGATAGTTGGATCATGCTGGATTGAGCACCTGGGGCAAGGTTAAATTAAAAAAAATAATATAAATGGTGGAAACTAGAAAGACAATTGATGAAAAATGGACGTGCCATACATTGTATGCCTTCAGTTTCAGGTAAAATTCAGAAGTGGTACGATTTGATGTATTTATCAAAAAAAATTCTTTTACATACGCTGGGACTCATGAGAGACCAGTGGATTTCATTGAATGGACCACCCAGTTGAAATAAGAAATAAATAAATAAATAAAATAAAATATCACAAAACATGTTTCAGCTGTTATGTTCTCCCCACCCCCCCCCCACGCTTTTTTTGGTATCAACAGTCTTTCCAGGCATTATCAAGTCTTTGAAGAAGAAATTCCAAAATCTGCAGTGCCACGCAACCCCTGTAGGTTTTCCCCAAGCCTCCGTAATTAAGACTTTCTCAAGGTCCGCGAGACTGCCCGAGCACCCTTCAAGTTCTTAGCAGGAACTTCCTTTGCCCTCCGGCCCAACTGGCTTCTCGACCCCGAATATTGTTAAAAACCCAAGCCGGTCTGACCCTGGGGCGGGGGGGGGGGGGGGGGGGGGGGGGGGGGGGGTTTAAGTCATGTGGCAATCAACAGTGTTTGTCAGTGGGTTCGCTGGGGAGTTTGTCACTGTGACTGTCACCACCTTTTGCAGTTCATTAGATTTCTGCCTGGGAGCTTGGGTGTTTTTTTCCCCGTTAAATGAACACGAAAAAATGTATGTACTGCACGAACTCAACCTGTGACTGTTACTAGTTTGCCAGGTAATTACTGCTGGCCGAGGCTGTTAAGATTATGGTTCTTAAAGCTGAGTTTTCTTCTTTTTTTTATCCAAAAAGTGCACCCATGTTTACCTGGGAAATATGATGACCCATGAGAATGATAATACTACTTTGGTGCATATTTGTATAGCGCTTTAAGCCAAAGGTCTCAAAGCGCTTCACAATTATTATTAAACCTGTTCATCAGGACACGGGACCAGTTTTTGCAGCAACTCCAGATCAGCGCATCCCGGTCTCTACCTTCACAGGTACCCATTTTTACTCCTGGGTGGAGAGAGGAAATTGTAGTAAAGCGTCTTGCCCAAGAAAGCAAGCACCAGACTACCTCTGTCCTAAATTTAGGAAGGTCTCAGATATAATGTATGCATAATTATTCCACCAGGGGTAGTTCCACCAATTTGTTGTTCCAAGAAAAAAAAAGGTCAGAGTGCTATACATTTCTATACCGGAATTCGTAAATGCAATACTTCCTAATAACATCAAATGTTCCAACAATCATCCTCAATTTAAAAGGGCAGTGAAGGAACATCTCTCTTCTCAATCTAATTTTTAAACAGCCGAGGTTTTAATGACCATTCTTCGATATTTCCTGCATAATCATATTAATTTTTTTTTTGGGGGGGGGGAATTACATGTTTGTTTGTTTCTGTGTTTTTAAGGACCCCGATGGAAATAAGCCGTCTTAGGCCAAAAAAAAAAATAAGTCGGTCTCTGGTCAGCGCGCGCGTCGATTTTAATCATGCGCGTCAATCTTTTTTTTTCTCCAAAATGTTCCGCGGTGGCTCCAACAGCGCCCTCTATTGCCGCACCTCCTCAATTTTTTTTACCAAAGAGCACCAAGGAATGGGAAATTGCACCAAGGCAAATGATCGACAGCACCAAGGCAAATTATGGAGGACACCAATGTACATGAGGACACCAAAAAAGCAAAATAGTATCTCACCTTGTCTGTACAATCCAAGCTTGAAGAAAAAAAAAAAAAAAAAAAAAAAAAAAAGCCGCGTCGCCGCGTCAATTCCGGAACTTTGGTCTGACCAGAGACCGAATTTTTTTTTTTTTGGCCTTATAAACAGATTTTTGGGCTATCCTTGGCTTTTATAAGTTAATTTTTTACGTATTTCACTGTATGTTTGTTTATATTTGCCAAAATGAATATATAAATAAATAAATGTAGCCCGTAACTTAGGTTCGAACCCACGTACCACGGCACACGAGTCAAACACAGTAACCATTGGATTACATATTTATAGTTGTACATATAACATTCTTCAGTATTGTACAGTGCGTGTGCACATGCACATAGGTACATGTACAAATATACGCATGAGTTATTTTCTGAAGGACAATACCGTATGTTTGTACATTTTTCCCCCCAAGTATTGCAATATGTTGGTTTGCATATATTGTGATAAAACTGATTGTTATTTTGTCATAAAATTTAGTTGGTTTGTATTTTGCAGGCAGAGGCCTTATGTACCGGTATATATACCCGTCAGGCAGCAGATGGATATTAAGTGCTGGGCCTTGAGAAATAATACATATACTGTACAGACTACAGTCAGGAACATATATTGACAATATCGGCACTGTATGAATATGCCGTGCAATTATGCAAAATCAGCCAGTAAAATGTGATGACTATGATGAAAAGGAATATTAAGTATTATTAGTAGATTTTTTTTTTAGTGCCACATGTATGGTACATGTATATTTGTCCTCTTCTACTGAGTTATATTTTAATATGATTTGCTAAAAAGATGTATGCAGATTGGACGAAACAAAGCACCGTATGCACCATATTACGTAAACATACATTGTACATACATGTACATGTACTGCAATACCGCTGCGGATGGTACTCCTGTTTTTGCTTAAAGCCGGAGTCCATCATTTGCAGCTATCCAAAAAAGTAACTGGCGTAATTATTGTTGAAAAACATACTTGGTTGAAAGATAGTAAGTGGACTAAACTCCCTGTGAAATTATCCTTTCTGGCAAGCTCTCATTTTGAAGAAATCAACGAAAGAAGGCATTTCCAATGGTGCTTCTTAAGCTCTCATTTTGAAGAAATCAACGAAAGAAGGCATTTCCAATGGTGCTTCTTAAGAAGCACCGTAGGAAAATTTTAATTAGTTGTTCGTTTTGTTATTCGGCGCAGCGCGCACAAGCATTGGAACGACGCACAGGCGCGCGCGGTTGCTATAATTCGTCGGATCAGTGCGCGACATCGCGTAAAGCTGCAATTCAAAACAATTCGAAACATGATTTAGCAACTTTTGATTTTAAATTGAGATCCTAGAATGCTGTTTTTCTCGGAATATGAAGCTGAAGCTGAGCTGAAACTTCATCAAGTAAGTTGTTCAGTATCCTTCATTAGATTTTGAACACTTTTGTTGCTTCAAACGAACAAAATGCACTAATTACAAATGATGGATTATAGCTTTAAATACATGTATGGAAGAAAAAAAAATTTCAGGAAAAATCTGGATGTTATGCAGCGCAATGAAACTTGGCCAATAATTTAGCTGGATATAACAAAGACACATCCTCAACAGAGTTCGGTGGGAAACAAAACAAACACAATGTCTTCAATAACCCACAGACCCGCTTTTCATAAAAACGTTATAAATGTGCCTCATTTTCCCCACACAGCCGATCCAAGCTGAGGGACGTTTGTCCTCTAGTAACCTCCCATGTCAGTCAGTTGGCCTAGAAGGCAAAAGGTAAATGAAAGACGGCATATCCGTCAACGTTTATGAAATACCGTAGGGGCCGGGGGGGGCCAAATTCCCTCCAGGGTGATCAACGAAAGCTCGAAGGCTCTACTGGTAGAGCTCTCCAACGTTACTTTAGACTCCAGTCTGCCCGACCCGGTTCCCACAACCCCCAACAATGAACAAGCCACTGGGTTACCGGTGTTCAGTGTTTAAAAAAGGGGGAGAGGGGTCACTACGGACGCTACAAGTCCGTTTGTTTCATCACGTTGTAATCAAACTCCCTCGTTTTGAAATTTTCCAAACCAATTTTCCAATCCAGCCTTCTGTAACTCTTCAGGTGATTAATTTTTGTTAGTTTCGGCGTATAATTTTATTGCTTTTTCGAAACAGACCTGGTAGGAAAATCTATCTCCGTCAAAAGTACAGGTAGCAGTATGGCAGCTGAAATTATACATATAAAGATTGAACTGGGGCTGCATTTTACCAAGAACAACAAGCAGGGTGTGTGTAAATACTATATTTGTCATACATTGTTTTTGTAAGAAATGCAAGTCATACACTGTCAATGTCATTGATAACTCGAGAATTATACAAGTAGACATACATAATTAATTCTTATATTATTTCATTCTTATTGTAACTGGGTAGCCCATTCAGCGGAATCCGCTGGTCTCCCATGGGGCCCAGTAAAGAGAAGACAATGTGAAGACATTACAGTTTTAGAGGTGGGAGGAAAACCCAAGAAGAATTCTAAGGAAAACCGACGGAATCAAGTAGGGACTGAAAACCCAATCCACATCATGGCTTAAGCAGGAATTGAACCCAAGTCACAGTGGTGGAAGGCACTACTACATCTGCTACTGTGTACATTATGGGTGCCATGAAGACAATGGAACTAATAACACATTTGGAATTGAAGCAACAATACATGAGCAATCACAGTCGATACATGCACACACATATCAGAGAACATTCAGGTACACGTACATGTATACATGTACATATTATAGTCACAATGCAATTCTCTTTCACATCCCGAAATTCATCATTAATTTATGTTCTAATCAATGCAAAAAAGCACCTGATGGCAATTCTGTGACCAACGCAAAATGTTCAGCTGGATGTACAATGATGCATGATATTCACATGGGTTGTCTGCAGCAACCGCCATGTTTAGAAAACCCTGGAGATAAACAAAGGCCATATTCAGAGTTTTCGGGCCATTAATATTTCAGTGCGTTTCCCATGCTGCAGCTGTGCCATGGTATTGTGGAATGCCTGACTAATCACTACGTCAATTATTTCAAAGCTGGTAGCCAGACCTATAGGGAGCATTGAAAACTGTACACTATTCATGTATGTATCATAGGCCATATTATCATGGACTGTAAAGACACAATTTTCTAGGTGCCAACAGCAAAAAAAGGCTCAATTTAGTAATTTTCTTTCCATCTTTAAGGTACAACATTTGCACGTATAACAATAATGTGGTGCTTATAGCGCCTTATATAAAGGTGTCAAAGCGCTTCACAATTATTACCCCTGTTCATCAGGCCACGAGACCACTTCTGCAGCAGCTCAAGATCAGCGCATATGGCCCATACCTTCGCAGGTACCCATTTATTCCTGGGTGGAGAGAAGCAATGCGTGGCAAAGTGCCTTGCCCAAGGGCACACGCACCATGACCCCAGGTTGGACTCGAACCGACAACCTGCAGCTGTACCGGCAGACCAAGAATCCAATGCCCTTAACCACAATGCCACAGCTCACCACACTTACAAAATTAATACATCACAAAAACAAAACCACCAAATTATTATGCAAATACCTTACTTGATTGTAAGTGAATGTCTCAAGCATTCTGTGAAATATCTATGCACCTGGTGTGCTGTCATTTTTTTTATAGAAAAGTGGATTTTTTGTATCAATTTCCAATGATGGTCGGCCGTCGGCCCGTCGAGATGCGCTGGTCAGGCGTGTCGAGATGCGAATTGAACGGTTACAAAGGGAGAGTTGGGGAAGACCACTGTAGACGGTGCACGTACGACAGTCGCGCAAAAAAACCCCACGGGTTTGTGCGAAACGTGGATTAAAATCAGCTGTGCACACTTCGCGCGATACATGCGCAAACAAGTCAATGCGCGCGGTGCATCCCTCTCACTGGAACTTTTGCAAGTGTCACCAAGCGCAATCTACTGTTCGTGTACATCCATTAAATTTTAACTGGAGCATTCTTGTTTGGCAACAGGCGCAAGAATTTTCTAATTACTATGGTGTCCCCAAAAAAGCTGTGCAAGCAGATATCCTTTGATTTCTCAAAAACTACTTAACATGAGGATTTCATCTTGATGGAGCACATTAATTATACTCTTGTGTATGTTCAGTAAAAATGCCATGGAAATCCGTTCATGCAAACCAGAGATCTAACAGATTGTAAAAGGCTATGGGTTTTTCACCTGTTCCAATAGGATGGGATTTACACAGTTAACTTAATTTACATCACAGTGAAAAAAAGCCCATGACAATCTGATGCACTTAAA